TCTGTGAGGCGGCGCCGAGGCTCCGTCCCCTGCCCAGGTTCTGCTTGGCGAGCGCCCAGGGGCCGGAGGCGTTTGGCCATCGGGCAGCGTGGTGGCTGTGGTCGTGCGTTACAGGCCGTCCCCTGGTTTTGTTCTCTCTTTCGGTGCGATAGAGCTGATCCCTCACCAGTAGACGCGCAGCCCGTGTGGGGGAGCCAGGCCTCATGGCCGCCCCCCGGGGCGGCTGCCGGAGGCCCTTTTCAGCATGCAGCATGGAGTGGTCTCGTTTATTCGAGGCGCTGTGTTCAGGAAAACCCTTGAAAAGCAGGGAAACAACCAAACGTGTGCCCCCGCCGCTGCTTCGCCAGGTGTGGCGGCACTGCTGCCTGAATACTGCAGGGAGAGGTGCTGAATGGCAAATGGCTAGACCTTGTCGACATCTGGTGTCACGAAGCCAAGAGTGGGAAAATAAAACTGCTGGGGACGGGGAGGAAGCATTATGGGGGTCTCTTCAGGGGGAGAAAAGATCCGGGGAAGATCTGGTCCTACTAACTGTGCAGGGAAAAGAACACTCTCCCATTTCTGTTCACATATTGAGAGTTACAGTGGACACATTTAGAACAGCTATATTTATTCTGTTTGCTTTTTTGTGGATATTTTTGTTTTTATTGCGAGTCTGTCGGCTAATCTCTGCATCTGGAATTTTCTCAGATGCATACTAGTAGGTTTGACTGGGGTGTCTGGCAGGGCTTGAGAAGTGGGAAACTGCGTGAGATCTAATACTCAGCTGCGTTACACAAAAAGAATGAAACCAGAGGATGACTTGTGATGCGAGATCACAACAAATAAGCTGTTTGATCTTTAATTGTTTTTCCATTGAGTGCATTTCCTCAAAGGTAAATTATGAATACACTAGCACTGAGTTGAATTCTGGCTTCGTCCTTTCTTGTAAGCCAACAGAGTAAAAATGCTTCCGAAAGTTTCAAGTTCTGGATGGCATTAGAATTTGTATTCTTATTCTAAACAAATTAGTCTTTTCCAGTCTTCATGTCTCGAAACCCTCAAATGTTGATGGAAAGAACTTAAAAAGGAAATATGTTCTTATCTGTATATCTTTACAACAAAGTTTCTCATTCTTACGCAGGAAATTTCACACTGCTTATGAGAGGGCTGTTTTGTGATAAAAGCATAAAGATGGCTAAGCAAATTGAAACACTCAAAAATCAGTGTATTCAGCACAGAGAGACAGTTAACATGTGTAAAATTTTGTGAAGAAGGTCCTGAATGACCTGTTGATGAGGAATTCTTGTCATAGCCATGATTATCCAGCCATTTCACCCATTAGCTTTCAGCGTGCCGCAGCCAACTGCTCTCAGAGATCATTAATATCAGGACGCCATTTGGCATCTGCCTCTCCAGCTTCCAGGACAATAGCAAACGTGCCCACGTTGTACACCTGACACAGCAAATACTCTTCCTAAAGGGTTTGCCATTCCCTGTCTAGCATGGAGCCTCCTTTCCTTCCCTGAGTCCCTGTAAGGAAAAGTGTCCTGCTTTCAGCTGGGATAGAGTTAATTTTCTTTCTAGTAGCTGGTATAGTGTTATGTTTTGGATTCAGTATGAGAAGAATGTTGATAACACACTGATGTTTTCAGTTGTTTCTAAGTAGTGTTTGTACCAAGTCAAATATTTTTCAGCTTCTCATGGCCAGCCAGCAAGAAGGCTGGAGGGGCAAAAGAAGTTGGGAGGGGACACAGCCAGGGCAGCTGGCCCAAACTGGCCAGAGGGGTGTTCCATACCATGTGACATCATGCCCAGTATATAAACTGGGGGGAGTTGGCCCGGGGCGGGGGGGGGCAAATCGCTGCTTAGGAACTAACTGGGGATCGGTCGGTGAGTGGTGAGCAGTTGCATTGTGCATCACTTGTTTTGTATATTCCAATTATTTTTTTATTATTATTGTAAATTTTTTTTCTTACTTTCTGTCCTATTAAACTGTCTTTATCTCAACCCACGAGTTTTACTTTTTTTCAGTTCTCTCCCCCATCCCACTGAGGGGGGCGGGGGGGGCGCGAGCAGCTGCGTTGTCCTTGGTTGCCAGCTGGGGCTAAACCGCAACAAAAAGAAAGAAGAAGAAGAAAAAAGCATCCCAGTTGCACAGGAATAGAAGCTGCTGGCACATGAAGTAGATGGATAACACCAGTTTATTTCTCTATGTGAATCTCTTTTCTCCTGCCTCATCTTGCCATATGACCTCATGGACACCACTGTGAAATGGAGCAAGTGCAACCTGGTTTATATTTTAATTTAGACCAGAAGGGAGATATCTCAGAAAGAATGTAGAATTGCAAAAGAGTCAGAGAGGGACAACAGGAATGGTGAAAGGTGTGGGACAGCTTCGATATCAAGACCAACTAAGTAAGCTAGGAGTCGTCACTGTACAAAAGAAATGGCGGGGGGTAGGGAGGATTAGAGGTCTGTGTAATCATTAGCAGCCTGGAGTGGGTGGAAGACCACCAGTTTTGTTTACTCTCCCTTCCTATACAAGTATTTTGGGAGCATCTAATGAAACTAGGAGCCAGGCCAGAACAAAACAAAGACAGTAGCCCCTCGTGGGTGGGTTGGTGACCTGTTGAGCTCCTTGTCAAGGATGCTGGAGACAGTAAAGGTTGAATTGGATTCAGATAATGTTTGGACAAGTTTAAGGAAGAGAAATATATTGCATGTAAATAAACAGCTATGTAGGAATCAAACCTAGCTCTGGATGTTTCTGAGCTGACAATGGTTGGAAGCTGGGAGGGTATCATCCAGAAGTACTGTGTTTGCCTGCCCTTTAGTCTGTCCCAGTATGGCTATTCTTAGAATTTTATCAGTATAATATTTCAAGAAACACACAGAGAAACTATCCGTTGCTGAACTGAGTTGAGATAACCTAGCCTGCCCAGCAGAGATGTCGAAAGGCCTACCAAGGGCTGGATACCCAAATGGAGAAGCACAGCACAGACGGAGGAAGTGAATTAATGAAGGAAAGCAAGAAGAAAGCACTAAAGAAGAGATAAGACTAAGAAACATCAGAATGCAAAGTTTAACACATTGTACACTTCTGGCTAAAAAGTGAGAGCTGGAAACACCTCTGCTATGAGGTGTCACGTCCTGTACCAACTTAGAAAATACAGCACTTACCTCAGCCCAGGCGAGGACTGTGCCAAAGCAATAAATGTTTCAGCAAGCAATGGGCATCTGTAGCTTTAACTCTAACTTTCCATGGCCGACTTACGTTGTACTGAGCAAGAAACTCAAAGATCTGATAAAAGGCAGTAGTAGTCAGATTGGTTATTTACTAAAAATTAATTGACATGAGGAAACAGGAACTGCCACACTGAATCTGACCTGACATCTGTCTGCCTCAGAATCTCATCTCTAAGACCGTCCAGCATCAGCCCTCTGGGGAAAAATATAAAAATGCAGTAATAAGATCTTCTGATTACAAAACTGTGTATTAAATGATTTTGATATTGCTGTAAGATTTGAAGTAGACAGTTCAATATTTCTTCTGGTTTATGTTACTGGAAACTAGATTGCTTTATTTACCGTGTAATAGTTTTTTTGTCCCATCACGCTAAATTCTTGGCTCCAATGACATCCTGTGACAGTAAATTTCATGATCTAATCATGCATAGTGCAAAAAATCAATTTGGTGTCAGTTTTAAATTTGTCATCTTCTAATTTCATTATAAGCCTCCTTGGTTTTATGTTTGAAGTCAGGAGAACAAGATTTCCAGTATTTCTTCTCCATGATATGAATTTCTTCATAGTTTTGCACATCATCTGCTTCCATATTTGCTCAGACAGCTGGAGTCTCTTTATACTGACATACTGACAGTAGTGGACAAGTCGATTGCCATTTAATTAATTTATGCCAGACAAGGAGACCACAAACTAGCACCTCAGTAAAGCCTATTTCCTTGCCATCATATTTGTCTAGAGAAAGAAATATTTGATTACCACACTGAAACGTATCAAGTATGTAACGCAGCATTTGCACTGCATACATAGTCATACTACTTTGTTCCGCACAAACACTATTAGCAAAATACTTCTGTAAATTATTCCTTGGCAACATCACCTTTTGGAACCATGCAATACAGTGATTATATGGGTCTGGCAGAGCCTGATTTTTACGTGAAGCCAAATTGAATGGTATTTTTGTATTTTCCAGAGCAACCTCATCACAGATGTAGCTATAACACTTTCTCATAGCACTTATACCAGACATCTGCACAGCGAACACCCTTAGAAGCTGTGATAAATAAATTCCTGAAATCCCTTGATGGAATGACCCTTTGTTTGGATGTTCTACACAGATTTCCCAAGCTGACGGATTCTAAAACTAGCTCTTTTTTCCAGAAGAAACAGAAATAGAGGTTTCAAATCCATAGTCCAGGGATTCTGCTGAATTGGCAAAGTGAGCTCTCCTACACGCTTCAGCTGGCTGTAACAAGGTCACAGTGCTGATGACAGGAATCCCTGAGTTACGTGTTACCTGTGCTGAGACCCAGTCTCTGACAAAACAAAATAATCCTGGGGCAGGGATGCAACTTTGCTGGATGGTATGGTGAACTAAACAACTGAGAGTTCCTTATATTGTCTCAGTCTACCCACAGGGAAGTTATTTATCTAAATTCATTGAATAGTTGGGGTGTCACACACTTCTCGTAAAACATGCTTGCAGAACTGAAAGCAGGTTTCAAGTTAAGGAAGGGGCAGGGTGCAGAGGGCAATAGCCACAGGGCAAACAACAGTCAAAGTTCATCAATCGGTAACAAAGCTCGAGCACTCTGGTGTTTGTAAGACATCAGCATTTCTGACAAGGCCAATAGAGATAAAAGCTTTGGCTG